CCTAGAAGTGGGGCTGTATCTCCTGGGGCGGGGCCTAAGTCTACGGGAACAGTACCGGGTGCCTAGAAGGAGGGGCTAGGACTGCACTCCGGGGGCCGGGGCCTGGGAGCAGCGGGGGGGTCCCCCGGGACTGGACCTAGGGTTTAGTGACGGGTGAGGGTCCGGGTTACGTGCAGAAGAGCGAGGCTTGGTCCTCAGGGTGGGTCCTGCCCCAGGTGCTTCCTAAAGGTGAGCCGGCTGGAGGCACAACTGCTCCTGGAGCGCTACCCCGAGTGCGGAAACCTGCTGCTTCGGCCCAGTGGGGACAGCACTGACGGAGTGTCGGTCACTACACGGCAGTTGCTCAATGGGTGCGCACACTAGGCTTGGCAACCCGGGTGGGAGGAGGTGCGGTGCCGGGACGTGGTTAGAGGCAGGGGCGGAGCTATCACCAAAAGTGGGTTGGGGAGATGCCTGGAGGCGGGGTCAGAGCTGAACCCAGGCGTTCTGGGGGCGGGGCCAAAGCTCCTGAGCGGTGTGATCCTAGAGATGGCCCTGCCCCAGGGATGGATCAATTTCTGGGAGCGAAGGTAGAGCCTAGGCAAGGTTGCAGACTCCTATGGGGAAAGGGTAAGGTACTGAGGCTGAGGCCTGGACACTATAGGCGGAGTGAGACCCTTGAGTTAGGGCCGTCTTCTCTGGATCGTCAGGTACGCTGGAATCGGGTCTGGGCTTCTGGAACAGGGACGAAGTCAACAGGGGTGGGAATGAGCCCTTTGGGCTGAGGCAGGCCCTGAATGTGGAGTCAAGGCAAGGCCCCCTTGCATCAGGCTCCAGAGGCGGAGCCATTCTGGGGGCGGAGTCAGAGCTCGACTTTAACTTCTCCTTGCGCAAAGTCCAGAGGTAGAGGCGAGGCCAGGAAGGAGGTGGCGTGAGGGGCAGGTATTCCCTGAGAGCAAAACCAGGACAAGGGCTGTTGCTGGGGGCGGTGCGGGAGCCCGAGTGGAGCCACTCCTTTGCCCAATTCCCGTGCAGGACTCACGTGGTCCGGCACTACAAGGTGAAGCGAGAGGGCCCCAAGTACGTGATCGATGTGGAGGAGCCGGTGAGTGTTGAGCCTGGGAACCTGGACTGTCAGGGTCCGCGTCCCTGTCCCAGCAGCCCTGACGGTGCTCCCCATCCGCTCTCAGTTCTCCTGCACCTCACTGGACGCGGTGGTCAACTATTTTGTGACATACACCAAGAAGGCGCTCGTGCCCTTCTTACTGGATGAAGACTATGAGAAGGTGCTAAGTATGTGCTGCTTCGAGGATCTCGGGGCCCAGTCCACGAACCTCCTCCTCCCTCCCGGTCAGGGACACCCATGGGCCAGCTCCTGGCCGCCACACCACCTCCAGGCCACCCTCTCTGTTCCAGGCTACGTGGAAGCGGATAAAGAGAACGGCGAGAGTGTGTGGGTGGCGCCGCCTGCCCTGTGCCCAGGTGACGCCCCCTCCTTGTGGCAGGGGCAGACAGGGAGTGAAGGAGGACCCACATTCAGCCACACTCCCTCAGCCACCGTCTTGGAGGCACCGTGTACGCCCAGTCTTGTATGCAGAGTTGCAAGACACAAAAATTACCCAGACCTAGTTTTTGAGGGGACCCCCAGTTTGGGGTGTGAGATGGCAGAACTGGACACAAACTCATCCCTGTGAGGCTGAACCTGCATTGAGGAAGAAACCTGGGTGGCAGGTGTCTAGAATTGGGGAGAGGGGAGTACAGACCAGGAGAAGGCTTCCTGGAAGAGGGGGTGTTTGCACAGGTCCCCAGGGGTTTTAACGCTCAGTGAACTGTGTCCTCTTGCATACACCTGTGTAAACACTATAACTCCACACGTATTTAAATATACATGCCTGCAACTCTAGTCATGATACACACACTATGTAGCGTAAATATGCCTATTTCAAGCCACAATCACAGTACACAAATGCAGATACCACCACTCACAAGCACAAAATCAGAATTACTTTCTATTTTTTTTTTTTTTTTGAGACAGTCTCACTATGTTGCCCTCGGTAGAGTGCTGTGGCATCACACAGCTCACAGCAACCTCCAACTCTTGGGCTTTAAGCCATTCTCTTGCCTCAGCCTCCCACGTAGTTGGAACTACAGGCACCCACCACAACACCCGCTTATTTTTTGTTGCAGTTGTCGTTGTTGTTAGCTGGCCTGGGCTGGGTTCAAACCCGCCAATTTTGGTGTATGTGGCAGGTGCTGTAACCACTGTGCTATGGGCACCAAGCCCAAAATCGGACTTTCATAGCTGCATAAACTTAACACACTGATCTAGACAAGGACTCAAGTATGGACCTGTCATGCGCATATATACGAAATTAGTATTCTGTATACAAACCTTGGGCCCATATTTAACTTATGCAAATTCAAAACAGTATACATGTTTGTGCTGTAGAGAGACATAAATACAGACTCATAAATGGGCACATGCACATATCCAGGTATGCATACAGACTTACCCTGAGGTGTCCCTGTGCCACATGGGCCCAGACAGTGAACACCTTTCCCCATCAGGTCCTGCATTCCCTACAAGTGGCCCCAAACTGCCACTTCCTGCATCCATGCCTATGTCCAGCCAGGACAAGCTGCCTCCATTACCTCCCCTGCCCACACTACTAAACCAGGAGGAGAACTATGTGACCCCCATTGGAGATGCCCCAACTGCTGACTATGAGAACCAGGAAGGTGAGTTGGGGACAGGGCTGCTGAGAGCTAGGGGTACAGGGATCAAGCTAAGGGCTGGATGTGACATGCGACCTTTGTCCTCACAGTGTCTTCCCCTAGTTGGCTGGTTATCCCAAAGCCCAAGAAGTTGGCAAAAGTTCAAGCAAAGCTTCCAAAACCACCTACTGCACCAAAGCCAGGTAAGGGTCCCTCCTCCCCAATCCCTCTCCTATCTGATGGTGAGGTGGCCTTCACTCATCGGCTTTCTTTAGTTTTTTGTTTTTTTGGCCAGGGCTGGGTTTTGAACCCACCACCTCCAGCATATGGGGCCAGCGCCCTACTGCTTGAGCCACAGGCACCGCCCTTTTTTGTTGTTGTTATTGTTTTTGAGACAGAGTCTCAGTTTGTCATCCTTGGTAAAATACTGTGGCATCACAGCTCACAGCAACCTCAAATTCTTGGGCTCAAGCAATCCTCTTGCCTCAGCCTCCTGAGTAGCTGGGACTACCAACACCCACCACAACGCCTGGCTATTTTATTTATTTTTTTTTTAAGCCTGGCTAGTTTTAGAGACAGGGTCTCATTCTTGCTCAGGCTGGTCACAAACTCCTAAGCTCAAGCGATCCACCAGGGTTGGCCTCTCAAAGTGCTAGGATTACAAGTGTGAGCCACTGAGCCTGGCCCTTATCTGCTTTCCTTTTCAGAATTTAAAGTCCTGAACCGTGGCCCCACAAGGAAGCCAGCAGCCAGCTCAGCTCAGCCTTTCTTCTCCACAGCAGGTATGAGGTACATGGGATCAATGCAGGACAGGTTTCCCAAGTGTGCTACCCATGCAGTCACACAGGGCTCCACATTTGGAAGCACCCTTCCATTTAATGCCCTGCCATCACTGTGTTGAAATTCCTCATGCTTTTTTTTCTTTTTTTTTTTTCTCTAAAATTCCTAATGCTTTTGAGCACATTTTAATTTTGCACAAGGGCGCCCTCCAAGTCTGTAGCTAGGCTCGGCGCCTATAGCTCAACCGGCTGAGGCGCCAGCCACGTACACCTAAGGTGGTGGGTTCGAATCCCCAGCCCGGACCCGCCAAACAACAATGACGGCTGCAGCCAAAAAATGGCCGGGCGTTGTGGCGGGCGCCTGTGGTCCCAGCTACTTGGGAGGCGGAGGCAGGAGACTCACTTGAGCCCAGGAGTTGGAGGTTGCTGTGAGCTGTAATGCCGCGGCACTCTACCCAGGGGGACAGCTTGAGGCTCTGTCTCAAAAAAAAAAAGTCTGTAGCTAGTCCTGGGTGGATGTTGGAGGGCAGGGGATGGACTGGGATTCCTGGCCCAGCTAAGCCTCAGGTGCTGACCCCCCAGGGCTGGCAGATGTGACGGCTGAGCTACAGAAAAAGCTCCAGAGGCGGCTGGCACTGGAGAAGTGACTTGGACCAGTGGGCCAGTTTCGGGGCACCACACAGCAGGCAGCTGCTTTCTCTCAGGATTAAAACCCAAGTGACCCCAGCATGCACATGTTTGTTTGGCTTTGGCTTGGGAGGTATGAGTGAGGGGTCCGTTGGATCCAGTGATTCTCAGCTCAGCAAAATCTACCTACTGTGGGCTGGCCGTGGTGGCTCACGTCCATGATCCCAGCACTCTGGGAGGCTGAGGCAGGCTTACCAGTTTGAGACCAGCCTGAGCTAGAGTGAGACTTTGTCTCTAAAAATAGCCAGGAATTGTGACAGACACCTATAGTCTCAGCTACTCAGGAGGCTGAGGCAAGAGAATCACTTAAGCCAAAGAGTTTGAGTTGGCTGTGAACTGTGACACTACGGCACTATACCAAAAGTGACAAAGTGAGACTCTGTCTCAAAAAAAAAAAAAGAAAAAATCAGGTGGCACCTGTAGGTCGTGGGTAGGGTGCCAGCCACTTACATGGAGGCTAGCAGGTTTGAACCTGGCCCGGGCCAGCTAAAACAACAATGACAACTGCAACAACAAAAAACATAGCCAGGTGTTGTAGTAGGTGCCTGTAGTTCCAGCTACTTGGGAGGCTGAGGCAAGAGAATCGCTTAAACCCAAGAGTTTGGGTTGCTGTGATCTGTGACGCCATGGCACTCTACCCAGGGCGACAGCTTGAGAATCTGTCTCAAGGTGACGCCATGGCACTCTACCCAGAGTGACAGCTTGAGACTCTGTCTCAAAAAACAAACAAACAAAAATCTACCACTTTACCCTGTGAGAGAAGCCCATTTAACAGTGGGCAAAACTGAGGTCCCAGTGCAGCACAGCAGGACTACCCATCCCCAAAGAACCAGAACCACAGCTTGGCCAGTGTCTGACCTTTATTGGGAGGTGAGGTGGGGAGGAGGGCCTGCCTCATGCCCACTCCCTTTTGGTGACCCCCTATCACGAGTTAAGGCTCCAAGCAGCAAGTAAGAGGAGTATGCCCAGCTGAAGCAGCCAAGGCCTGGTGGCAGTCACCCAAAACACTTCAGCTGGGTGGGTGCTCAGTGGTCTAGGTGAGGCTGGTGTTGGAGCTGCTGGTGGCACTGCCCCGCTTCTGTAGGCAACGCACAGAGCTGGGGACTTGCAGGCCCGTGGTCACCTGGAAGCTGCCACACCATACCTGAGGAAGAGTTGGGGCAGAAGGGAGGGTCAGCCTTGAACCCTAGCATCCAGAGCCACCCCTTTCAATCTCTGGGCTATGGATGGGGGCTTACCGTGAAGGCAGGCAACAATGGTTGTGTGAACTTGGCCTTGAAGGTGTGCAGCACTTGTTTGGTGCGGGCATTGTAGAAGGACAGGAGGCCTGGGGTTGGCAGGTAGAGAAATGTGGGTACCAGTGAGAAGGAGGATGGGGATGAAGGGAGGGAACTAGGCAGAGACAGCTGGAGATGGCACCTGGGGTTTGGGGGTCACACCTTGGTGGAAGTCACAGTGCACTCCCAGGCAGTCGGGCACAGGGGCATCCAGCACCTTGACCTTGTTGGCGTGCTTGGCGGTGAAGCTGACCTGCAGCCAGTTGTTGACATGCAGGCACCAGGATGAGGCCGTCTTGCCCAGCTGCTCGAAGCGGCCCAGGCTGCGGTAGGCCACCCCCACACCGAACGCCTTGCTGTCCGGCTCATAGCGTACCTCCCAGTAATGTTCCCCACCATCAATTAGTGTGTCCCCTGTAGAGCAGGGTAGGCAATGGGAACTGGGTTGAACCAGATCTCTGATGCCCTTCAACAAAGGTACAGTTTCCCCCCCTATACTCCCTATATCCCAACTATTTTCCCCAGAAATTCCTTAGACTCCAACTATTCCCTCCAGATACTCCTAAGGCCTTAAGTATTCCCTAGGCTCTAACAACTCCCTGTAGAGCCTCACTAAGACTGGAACTCTGCAAGCCTCAGTTATTCTTTTTGTTTTTGTAGAGACAGTCTCACTTTATTGCTCTTGGTAGAGTGCCGTGGCATCACACAGCTCACAGCAACCTCCAACTGCTGAGCTCAAGAGATTCTCTTGCCTCTGTCTCCCAAGTAGCTGGGACTACAGGCGCCTGCCACAATACCTGGCTATTTTTTGGTTGCTACCGTCATTGTTGTTTGGCGGGCCTAGGCTGGATTAGAGCCCACCAGCTCAGGTATATGTGGCTGGCACCTTAGCTGCTTGAGCCACAGGTGCCGAGCCAATGCCCGGCTATTTTTTTGTAGCAGTTGTCATTGTTGTTTAGCTAGTTGGGCTGGGTTTGAACCCGCCAACCTCAGTGTATGTGGACAGCGCTGTAACCACTGTGCTATGGGCTCTGAGCCTCTTTCTGTATTCTCTATAAGCCCAAGATACTCTTTTCAGACACTTCTAGGCCTTACAAACTTTTCCTCTTGGCTTGTTACTTGTAGCTCAGTGGTTAGGGCACTGGCCACATACACTGAGGCTAGTGGGTTCAAACCCTGCCCAGGCCTGCTAAACAATGACAACTGCAACAAAAAAATAGCCGGGGGGCGGGGCCTGTGGCTCAAAGGGGTAGGGCGCCAGCCCCATATGCTGGAGGTGGTGGGTTCAAACCCAGCCCTGGCCAAAAACTGCAAAAAAAAAAAAAAAGCATCCGGGCACTGTGGCAGGCACCTGTAGTCCCAGCTACTTGGGAGGCTGAGGCAAGACAATCACTTAAGCCCAAGACTTGGAGGTTGCTATGAGCTGTGACACCACGGCATTTCACCGAGGGTAGCATAGTGAAAAAAAAAAGAAATTTCCTCTAGTTCCTGCCCATGTCAAGATCCCCCTTAGTTCTTCCCCAAAATGAGATAATCCTCAAACCCTTGCTCCTGGCAGACTCATAGTGTTCCCATCAGTCTCAAGTCTTCCTCAAGTCTAGATAGTCCTTTTAATTCTCAGTTTGGCAGAGTCCAGATATTCCACAGGCCTCAGTAACTCCTTTCTGTTGCTCCCTGAATCCAGATTCTATCCAGACCCCAATTCCTGGTGAAGGGCAGATTCTCCCATGTCTCAGCTACTCTTGAGGCCTGCAGTTCCCCTAAGTATTCTATAAGCTCATTACTCTCTAGGCCTAAGCTTCTCCTAGAGCCCAGATAGTCCTTAATCCTTAATTACTCTCTCCAGATGCCCTCTTGAGTTGTGATACTCTTTGGTTTTAGTACCCCTGAGAGTCCAGATGCTCTCCAGACCTCAGCTAATCCCTGAGATCCTCCCCAGGCCCCAGATCCATATTGGTTCCCCCTCAGCTATTCCCCCTAAGACAGCTTCTTTTTTTTTTTTTTTTTTTTT